GGGGCTGCGTGGTGGCACTTCCTGGCTGAATGGTGACAGCATGACGACGAGGTTGAGGTGTGCGGGGCGACGTGTGGCTCTGTGTGTTTTGTCTCTCTGTCTGTGATCGGGAGGTCACCAGCTCAAATCCCATCCATCCATCCATCCATTTAATTCTGCTTATCCGAGGTCGGGTCGCGGGGGCAGCAGTCTCAGCAGGGAACCCCAGACTTCCTCCAGCTCCTCTGGGGGAATCCTGAGGCGTTCCCAGGCCAGCCGAGAGACATAGTCCCTCCAGCGTGTCCTGGGTCTTCCCCGGGGCCTCCTCCCAGTGGGACTTACCCGGAGCACCTCACCAGGGAGGCGTCCAGGAGGCATCCTAATCAGATGCTCAAATCCCAGAGTGGGCAAAACGTCCATTGGGCAGCCGATCAAGGCCCCCAACCTCCAATCGCTCCCCCCGATTTCTCAAAAAAGACCTCTGGATAAGAGTGACTGTTAAATAAATTGAAATGTAAAGTGACCCTTTTCATGCTCGCATAGCCTCAGCAAAAGCTAGTTGGAATCGGCCAGCTGCTCCACCAAAAAATATCTCTTTATGTCCAGATTTGTTTGCATCTTCCCATTTCCAGATGATGGATCTGAAACGTAGATATAAAATGGTTTCTGAAAAGGTCCTGCACCCCTGACGTAACCTGACCGCAGCGCAGCTATGAGATTGCCTGAAAAATTTATCAGATCTGTGTCACAAATTACCAAGCTGGGGTGGGGGGGGGTTCGCAGGAAAAGGAAAAGACCAGGGGATAAAAAAATCTTGGAAATAATTAAATATTAATGTTGAGGTAGTGAAGTAAAGTTACTTTCTGTGTAGTGATTTAATGACGGATGGGAGAGTGAAGCAGGGTTGAACAGCGGGGCGAGATGACAGGTCTCTCGGGCGGAAACTCGGGTGGAGGACGTCAAAGGGAGGCGAGATGAACCTCTCCACCCAGGGTCCTCGCTCTGGAGGTTCCCGTATTTGCCTGAAATTCTTCTCTCGCGGTCTGGTGTTTTGTTATTCTTTCCGGCACACGGAGGACGAGCAAAACTTTCACAGCGCGGCAGGCGGGAGGAGATGCGTTCAGCGCGCCCACATGCGCAGGCCGGAGCGAACTGGAGTCACAGCATCAGTCACAGCATCAGTCACAGCATCAGTCACAGCATCAGTCACAGCCGGACGGCAGCGGGAGTTTGCGTGGCCCACGGGGGGGTCAACACCGAGAGGGTGACTCATTTCCATGAATATGAGCGCTTGTATGTGAGTAAACGTGTGTTTGTCTGACTGACTACATATTGCTGACGATGCACGCATGTCTGGTCAGCTCCAACGGGCGAGTGGAAAGAACGCTTCTTCCCACCGTGGAAATGTTTACTTAGTGCTTCCAATTTACGGGTTATCGGCGCTGTTGTGTCACCACTATTTTAGATTTATTCGAAAAACACAGCAAAAGGGACCGAAGTCAACTGCCGCGTGTCGCTAACGCAGAGTCAGGTGCTGGTTTTGTGTTTCTTTACTTGGAAATCGACGTGGCTCGTGGGGCACGGCGGCAACCATGTGA